TGTCCCTGGATCCAGCCTTTTCTCCAAGGATAACCAGGTCTTTTTATTGGAGAATGGTATTTATAAATAAAGATTTGGATGCTAAATATTTTCATTACGTTGGGTATTTTCTATTTACATACACAGACACACACACACACACACACACACACACAAGCGGGTGGGGAGAAAGAGAAAGATGGAGATATTCTTTTACATCTGTATTACTTTCATTATCTATCTTTAAATTGAAAACCACAAACTCACAACAATTTCTCTGTCAGAGACTTGGATGACTGTCCTTATCTACATATATACAACTCATCCTGGACTGCTGTATCTCCTGGACTGCTGTATCTCCTGGACTGCTCTATCTCCTAGACTGCTCTATCCTGGACTGCTCTATCTCCCAGAAGTCCTCCTACCATGCTCAGGTCCTTGGATGGCCTTTTTTACTCTGCTTGGGCATTAACACTTGTGCTGAACTGCTTTCCCACCAGTTCTTCCTCTTGGTTGGCTTTGAAACATTGTATATGCCATTTTGATTCCTACCTTGTTCAACCCTACCTAGTGACTTTTGCACAGGATTGCTCAGGAAGAGGAAGAACATCAACAACAAGAAGATAATTTATTTTTATGATTCTTAGGTCCCTAGGAACCATACCTGGAGCTGATTTAGATAATGAAATTCTGCACCTGAAATCTTAATGGGACGAACCCTTGGGGGATCTTTGGAGAAGAGCAACGTATTTATATGTGGGGAGATTCTAAATATTTATGGCTACTGGTCAAATGATGGTAGATTAAAGATGTCTGCTAATTCTTTGCCCCTCCTTCCATCAAAAGATATAGTCTATTTTTACTTCCCTCGAATCTAGACTGCCTAAAACTTATATTTATGTACACATTCATTAATTCATTTTTTGGGGTGCTGGGGATTGAACCCAGGGCCCTGTGCATGGTAAGTATTGTAACTTGTTTTAACAAAAAGAATGCTCACAGAAGTGATGCTTAAGGCTAGGCCTTAAAAGATCTGCATCTTCTTGTCTTGTTCTTGAAATGCTCCAATTTGGAATATATTCCATAGTATGTGAGGAAACCCAAGCAGATACATTGGAAGAGTGTTTATGGGAAGAGGTCACTGGGGAGAATGAAGGTCCCATGACCCTCAACCCATTCTGAGCTCCCAGTCAGCACTGATTACCAGCCATGTGAGTGAGGCCACTTTGAAACTTTCAATTGTACCCATGTTCCAGCTAATACTATTGTAGGCAGAACTGCCCAATTAACTGCTTCACTGTGAGACACTGTTTTAAGACACTTAGTTTTGGGATCATGTGTTATGTTGTAATAGATCTTGAGATAAAAGTCTCTCATGTGCCAGCTACTGTCCTATGTCCTTCTGACATATGAGGCTGAAACAGAAATGTAAACTGACAGGTGTAGATGAGGGCACTGTGAAAGGGCAGAGGAAAGGCTATTAAGAGGTTGAAAGCAAGCTGCAATGGAAGTAAGGAACTGATGATTCTAGGCTGATGAGCACTGGATGAGCCAATTACCAAACCCAGACTCCAATTTTTGGCAAGGCAATTCTGCAACTTCTCCAGGTGTCTCACTTACTTGATGGGGTTAATTTTTTACTTGACATAAGTTGAGAGTGGAAAGAGCTGGGGACAGTTGGGGAAAAAGTTGTCTGAGCCTATATCTTTCTTTTTTTAATATTACTTCCTATTTAGAAGCTGGACAATTCTTTTTTTTTTTTTTTTTTTTTTGCACTGGGGATTGAACTCAGGGGCACTGGACCATGAACCCACATCCCCAGCACTATTTTGCATTTTATTTAGAGACAGGGTTTCACTGAGTTGTTTAGTGCCTTGCTTTTGTGAGGCTGGCTTTGAACTCACTATTCATCTGTCTCAGCCTCCCTAGCCTTTGGGATTACAGGTGTGTACCACCACACTCAGCAACAATGTTGTCTTGAAGGTTTCTGGACTTTTGGGAAGAAATTTACTGATTCCAAGTACCTTTGAATCAAAGACTATTGCTCAGGCCTCAGTGGATTCTGCACTTTTTTGAGGGATGGACAATTAGCAAGTGTTCCTTTTCCTTGATTCCTAGTCTTAGAAGGTCCTGGAACAGGTCTACGACCCTAATTTTCCTTTAATAATGTCTCCTGGCATTGTCTATACCTATAGAAGATACATGTCCATTTTCCCCTTTCCTGATGTTTCAGTCAGGGGACGAATCTGCCTCATTCTCACTCATTGGCCAGGCAGAATTTTCCCCAGGCATAGGCTGTTGTGGTTAGTTTCACCCTTATTAATTCCTTAGAAAACAACTCTTGAATTTGTGTCCTAAAATAACTTATCTATAATTTCTCCCTTTTCTCCATCCTACATCAAAATGATCATAAGGCTGGGGGTACAGTTTAGTGTTGGTAGAGTATACTTATTCCACAAGCATGTGCATATGAGGCCCTGGGCTCTATTTCCAGCACCACCAAAACAAAAACAAAATACAACCTCCCAAACAAAAACAAAAACACCCCACTACCCATCACAAAAAGCTCAAAAACAACAAAACTCACAAGTATTCATTTGCCAAATGTCTTAACAAATATTTATTAACTACCAACTATGTGCAGGCTCATTTCTTCTTTCTAACAGTGAGCAAGAGAGAGACAAGAGTTCCTGCCCATATGAAGTTGGTCTTCTAATGAAAGTGACCATAGAAAATAAACACATATGCTGGATGTTGATACCTGCTTTGAAAAAAAAATTAAGCTGATTAAGCAGATTTTGGCAGGAGGCTGTTCTACATAGGAGGGTTCAAGAAGGTCATTCTTATAAGGTGGAATCTGAGGAACTCAAATATGACAGTGTTTCAGGTTAAGTGAATAAAAAGTACAAAAGCCTGAAACAGGAAGAAAGGAAGACTGAGGAGAGGTATGGAAGAGGTGTAAGAGGAGTTACCAATTAACCAGGAACTAGAGAACTCAGGCTGAGATCATGGTAGCTTGGACCATAATGATTGCAGCAGAGTTAACAAATTCTTTCTACGCCCCTGGGACTGAACCCACCCAGGGGCACTTAACAACTCAGCCATATCCCAGCCCTTTTTAATTTGAGATAGGGTCTTGCCAAGTTGCTGAGACTGGCTTTGAACTTGCAATCCTCCTGCCTCAGCCTCCCAGGTCATTGGGATTACAGGTGTGGGCCACTGTGCCTAGCTGATCTCTGATATTTTGAAGGTATACTGATAAGACTTACCCAGGAACTAGAAATGACATTTGGGAATAAGAGGCATATCCAGGACATCTTTCAGTTTTTGTTCTTGGGAAACTGAATGAACAATGGTGCCACTCCTGAGGGTGGAATATAGTGATTAGGTTGTTAGAGCAGGACGTGTTGAATCTGAGATACTGGTATGTGACTGGAGGTCAGGGAAGAGATATGAGAGACATTTTGCAGTCATCTGCATAAAGATATTCTAAATCACCCCTAGGAAGTGAGAGTAAGACAGAAAAGAGAATCATGGATTATGGCCTGGGGCTTTCCTCAACAACTGGGAAAGAAGTGCAAAAGACAGAGGAGTGACCAGTGAAAATAAAGAGAATCTGGAGGGCATGGTATTCAGGAGGTCAAGAGAAGAAATAGATTTTGTATGATCCCAACGAGGTATCAACACCTCAGCCTCAGTTTTCTCTTCTACTTAATGAAAACAATAACAACACCTATTTCATGGCATATGTAAATTCTTCAAAATGTAGTGGCCAGTGCTAACATTTCCTACCTCTGAGTTAGCTGCGAGAACCCCTCAGCTTCCCTATCCACATAAATGACAGCACCTACAAGAGTCTTTCTCTGGGATGAGGTCACTCGAGCACCAGATAGGTCAAATCTAGGTTCAGCGGCTTCAGTGTTAAAGTCACCCACACAGCCTCCAGCCTTTGCGTGCAAGTCAACAAGGGGGTAAACATAGGTGTAAGGGTTTTGAAGCCAGAGTTCTGCTGGTCATCAGCTGTAGGATACTAACCTCCCTGGGCCCTGAATTCTTATCTGTAAACTGGGAATAATTTCTACTGCATAGAATTATGTTCCAGCCCAGTGTAGACTGTAAAAAACGGCTGTTCTTCAGCCCGCCACTGTGGGAATTATTGAAGCCACTCTCCCACTCAAAGTTTGTGTCCAGACATGGTATGCACTCGAGGAGGTATCTCCGGAACCCAGAACTGAGTTGGGATAACCTCTGAGATTCTCTACACATACGACAGTAAGCGAGAGTAATGCCAACTTGTCCACTATCTTCACTTCAAGGCTCTGTAAATCGCCTTTTACTGGTCCCCCCACAAAGGCATCCGGGACCCAGTTACGCTAAGATAGGGGGGTTTCGAACGTCACGGAAAATCCCTCCGCCGCCGTCCCACTCCTCGCGCGGCGTAGAAGCCAGTTCCCCAGGCAACCTTTCTTGCCCCCGTTCTTCACCCCTCAGGCCTACCCAGGACCACCGGCTGGAAAGCCGCCGCGGCCCCCAATCCCTGCAAACAACGTCTCGCTAGCTTTCCTCTCTACCCTCTTCTCTGCTGGCGCGCTGCAGTCCTAAGCCCGCACCCCAGTCCTTGGGTACCCCAGGAAGTGGCGGGGCCTCTCCAGGGCAGCTTGACTGTGGGGGGGGGGGCGGGTAGAGGAGGTGCGGCTTGATAGCGACCTAAGCCTCACCGCCAAAACTCGGGAAGAGAGAGGTTTGCAGCTGGACGTAGAAGCCGAAGTCCGACCCTGGGGCTTCAGGGCCTGCGGGCGGAAAGCTGAGCGCCGCGCCCCTTCGGAGCCGCCCCGCCCCCAAAGCTCAACTCCTCCTTGACGGCCCCGCCTCCGCTCCAGCAACCCAGAGACCCCGCCCTCTCCCTCTCGTCCAGAAAACCCCGCTCGCGGCCCCGCCCCCACCGGCGGCCCCGCCCCGCCTCCGCCCGCGCCTCCGGCGCCCTTCGGGTGGCTCCCGGGTCCGACCGCCCCAAGAGTCTGCGTCCGCAGCAGCCCGCGCTCCCTCGCCCCCGCCCCCTCTGGACCCTCCCCCAGTCGCCGCGGTCTGGCAGCGCCTGGCCGGCGGCCCGCAGGCGGGCCGCCCTCTCCGCCCGTAGCCCACCCCCCTCTTAAAGCAGCGGCGGGAAGATGAGGTTTCGGGAGCCACTTCTAGGCGGCAGCGCCGCGATGCCCGGCGCGTCCCTGCAGCGGGCCTGCCGCCTGCTCGTGGCCGTCTGCGCGCTGCACCTCGGCGTCACCCTCGTCTATTACCTGGCGGGTCGCGACCTGAGCCGCTTACCCCAGCTGGTCGGAGTCTCCACATCGCTGCAGGGTGGCTCGAACGGCGCCGCCTCCAACGGGCAGACCTCCGGGGAGCTCCGGCCCGGCGAGGCCCGACCGCCGCCTCCTTTAGGAGTCTCCTCTGAGCCTCGCCCGGGGCTCGACTCCAGCCCTGGTGCAAATTCTGGCCCTCGTCTCGCGGGTAACTTGACTTCGGCCCCAGTGTCTTCCACCTCAGCACTGTCGCTGCTTGCTTGCCCTGAGGAGTCCCCGCTGCTTGGTAAGAACTCGGGTGCACCAGTTCGAAGAGAGGGACTCCCCCTGAATTTCGGGACCGGGATCCTTAGTACATTCCCTCTTCCACGACTGCTAGCCTCCCTGTTCCGGATAAGAATGCTTAATCCCAAAGAGAGGCTCGGGCCGGATGGGTGGGAGAGCTTGGGTGGTGTCCCATGGGGGGATTCTTGCAGGGTGGGGAAGTACCCTATAGGGAAGCCCTCCTGCCCCTCTGGCCTCTGAACCAAAGAAGGCCTTGAAGACGTCCCTGTTCTGGCCCAAGGTTCAGGGTTTTGTAGTTTGGGTTTGCTTAGAGCTTGGAGCAGTCTTGCCATGCTCACTCTGGTAGGAACTTCCAGGCAGCTCAGAGAAACCCACTCCAGTTTGGAGGACTGACAGTGAGGCTCCGAGTAGGGAAGAGAGTCTACCTACTCATTCACATCTGTCGTTTCATAGAGCCATTCCTGAGTGTAGATTAAGTTTTCTCCCGAACTTTTGGGCAAGTTACTTTTCTCTAAACATCCGGGTTTCTCTTCTGGTGTATGAAGATAATAAATGGTACCTATTTGGGAGGTTGTTTTGGAAGAGTAAACAAAACAGTGTAAATAAAGATTTGATTTTAATGAGGGTACGTTCTCAGTAAGTTGTCACTATTGTGTTCATTTCCTCCTCTGTGTAGATCCCTGGCCTGAGGCCCTTCTGGGGGAATGGGGGCTCCCCAGCTTCCTCCTCCTGTAGTTTCTCTCAACCTAAGTGAGCAGGACCTCTTTGGGGACCGAGGGCTTGTGTATCTTGGGGGCTGGAGGGCTAAAATGTAACCAGTCAGCCTGGGGTTGCCCCTTCCTGGTACTGCTTGCCCAGATGATCTGAGTCTTGGCCTCTAGCCTGTTTCAGTGTGGGCAGGGACCTTGAGTAGGTGGGTTTGCATTCCTTAAGTTAAAAGGACAATTAACTTAGCCTGAGCCTCTCTTTGACCTGTAACCCACAGGCCTGCAGGCCTGAAGCAGCCACAGGTTGCTTCCAGGGTTCAGACAGGTGGTTGCTTATTTCTAATGCCAGGTTTTAGAGAATGTTATTCTGAGCTAGGGGCCCTGGCAGGCATCCTGCCAAAAGCTCTGTCACGTTCCCAGAGCGCCCTGGCAAAGCAGGCCTTCCTACTTGCTCTTGCTCAATTTCTCCAATAATTACTTCAATATTTTAATACCAAGTTTGGGAGGAACTGCTTGGAATTGGTCAAACATGAACTGTGGTAATGAGAGAACTTTCTTAATGCAGAAAACTGAATTCCTTCAGACTTGGTGGTTAATCTGGGAAACAGAGTAGTTCATAAAATTAAGTAGACTCTGCCCTACTGCTAAATGTTTAACTTCAGACATGTTATAGATTTTTTTATCCTCACGTGTAATGGGGTTGTCGATGCTTACCTTAACCCCTTTAGGACTAAGAGGTTGTGTACATTAAATTCATGACACATAGTACAAACTCAGTATGTGGCTGCTAGTAATAATATAGTAATATGATTTTAGACTTTGTAGTTCTATTTTCTCCGACTCACATGGAGATGGTTCTGAGCAGCAGAGAAAAGGAGGAAGAATGAGAGAGTCCCTAGACCACAGAGAACCCAGTTTTTGTTTGTTTTGCTTTTGTTTTTGATTGCTGCTTGGGCATTGTGCAGAAAGAAAGAGAAATTAATTAGCAATTCAAAGAAAAGTACCCCAAGTTTATTAGATTGGGTTTTCTCATTAAGGTATGGGAGACGTGGTGATAACCATAGCTCTGCTTTATTTTATTTTATAATATGGTGTCATTAGTGATCTGCTTTTTACCAGTTACTGGTGTTGCTAAATTGATTCTGAAATCGGTTGCTTGAAAGGACTTCCTGTGAGATAATGTTTTAGAGGGTATAGAGAGAGGCCCTAGGCTGGCTGACTTCATGTGACTTGCATGGGACTGTGACGTTTAGGCTGCTGCTAGGCAGCAACCCCAGAAATGACTATAGAGGTCCTTTCTTCATTTTAATTGAACCCTTAGATTTAAATGGTTGGGTGCAGCTCTTGGAATGGAGGTTCCTGTCCAGGAAGGGCCTTCAAAAAGCTGAAAGTCTGCCTGATTCTGTGTGGGTTAGGGGAGTTGAGCCCATCTGTTCAATTGGGCAGGTGTCAGTCAAAGTCCTTGCGGGGTGGTTTTGAGGTTGGTGGGAGAAAGCATCCCTGGGGTTTAGAGTTGTGGCCTTTTCACTACTTGCAGTTCCTTTCTCCAACTTGGCTCTACTTTAGTGTCCAGAGATCTGGGCCAGATACTTCAGTCCCTCCCAACTGAAATCTGGTGGGTTTGAGGCAGAAAGGCACTAGACTGGGCTTATGGGTCACTATGTGACGCTGGGATGTCAGAGCAATGCAATCTTTAGATAGGCTTGGGTTAGAATCCTGCCTCCACGTATGCCATCTGTTTTGACTTGGGGCAGGTTGTAATGTTTGGAGCCATAGTACTGACTAATGTGAGGCCCCCCTGGAAGTGAGTGCTACAGAGTGGAGGTGGGCCTTTCCTGGGGAGTCCTACAGCTTTCCTAAGGGAAATCTCCCTAGTAGTTTGGGCTTCTTTCCCTAGTCCTGTCTCAGGCCCTTAGGGGGCCTTGCAGGATCTACTCCACTGACCCTGGCACTGAGGCTCTCTTCTGGCCACCTGGGTGTTTGCCTGAGATGGGAGGAGCAGCAGTTTTGCGTTTCTTTTCCCGGAATGTTTATCTCTGCTCAGATTTGGCGGCTGCTCAACATGACTTGACTGGCTGTGCACAGGCAGCCCCAGAGAGGGTTGGGGTGGGGGAAGGTGGGCAGCACATAAGGCTGAACTGGTTGGGGGAGGCAGGGCTTGCTGGGGGCTCAGCTGGGGTTTAGAGTATTTGGCATAGTTCCCTCAAGAGGGCAGGGAGTGAGTTCTGGATTGCTTGAATCCCAGAGGCCCCTCTTGCCCAGCTGTGCTTTGAGGAGATCCTCTTGATTTGTTTAAAAGGGAAGGGTCTGATCTAGAACTGGGAATCAGGACTAGCAGTGGCAGGTAGCCAGGGACCCAGGAGAGTGCTTGTTCATGAACCAATTTCCCTGGTGTTTATGAAGACATAGCTTCTGCCACAGTTTGTGCCCCCTGAAGGTGAAGCACTTGCTAGGTCTCTGCTCTCAGGTGTTTTTCTACCTGTATACTCCTCTCTGCCCCCTGCCTCAATGTGCATGCATATACATATGGCCCTGGGTAGCCTCCCCAGATCACAGTGTACTTTGAAACTTGGGAAGGGCTGTCTTTTCCTATTTGAAGAATGAATCTTGGAGTTTCATTTCCTTCTGCCTTGGGGTGCTATCTCATCCAGGAAGTGAGAGTTCCTTACCTATGTTCATATCTTGCAGCTTTGGGCTTTGGTAACCAGTCCTTTAAGCCAGTTTTATTCTGTTACTTTTTTTTCCTGAGGAAAGTAATTTACTGACATATATACAGATACTCATTATCTAATAGACTGAGATTCAGAAATACCTTCCCTGACCATCTGACTCACTTTTGAGGCCAAACCTGGTTGCTTTTCCCTATATAGCCCAATGGCAGTCATTTCTGTTTGTAATTTATCCCAGACTCTTAACAAGCATGGTAGCCTTCCCTGGCCCTCCTTCTCCTTTCTCTCTCTCTCTCTCTCTCTCTCTCTCTCTCTTTCTTTCCTGTGGTGCTTGGGATCAAACCTAGGACCTCACATGTGCTAAGCAAACATCCTACCCCCAAGCTACACCCCAGCCCCAGCCTCTTTCCTTTTGCAATAGGGCCTCAGATAAATCAGGTGCTCTTTGGGGCATGGGGAAACAAGAGTCAAATGTGGGATTGGATTCAGACTATGGCTTCTTGGACCATAACATCCCAGAAATGGACTCTCCAATGCTCTTCCCTAAGGTATTGCCCAATACACACCTAGTGCAGAGGCTCAGAGGCAGCCTGATCCTTGCAAGGTGTATCTGTGTCTGTCTCTGGCCCAGCAGGTCCTTCAGTTTGTTGCAGGATAGAAATCAAACATGGCTAGCAAAGAGAAGGTTAAAATTATTTATTGCATTGATTAAAGTAACAATTGCCAGACAGCAAAGTGGCCACTCCATAGATAGAGTGACAAGGAGGTCAAAGGGTAAACAAAGGGTGGATCATGAATTTGCATATTTATAGTTACATAGCAATATTCATGATTATGTTGCAAATCACTTAATGGGCTTTGTGCACACTGTCAAAAATGTGACCCCTTCCTGTATCTTTTAACATGGAAATGTATTTATTTATTTATTTGGTACCAGAGATTGAACCCAGGAGTGCTTAATCACTGAGTCGAATCCCTAGCCCCCTTTTTAATATTTTATTTAGAGTCCTGGTCTCACTAAGTTGCTTAGTACCTTACTGAATTGCTGAGGCTGACTTTGAATTTATGATCCTTTTGCCTCATCCTCCCAAGCTGTTGGGATTATAGGCATGTGCCACCAGTGTGCCTGGGTAATGAAAATGCTTTTAAATGAGGGTCCCAGTTACTTTTGGTCAAGGTATTGTACACGATCTGCTTGCATCAGTCTGATATTTTTTTGTTTGTTTGTTTGTTTTTTAATCTTGAACAATGGAAATGTAATTGGGGAGTCTCTTTTACCATTCATCTTTTTTTCTTTTGAATTTTTTTTTTTTTTAGTTGTTGATAGACCTTTATTTTATTAATTTGTATGTGGTTCTAAGAATTGAACCCAGTACCTCACACATGCCAGGCAAGGGCCCTACCGCTGAGCCCCAGCCCCTTACCATTTATCTTTATCATACATTATTCAGTCCCTTTCCATCAGCAGTTTAAACTTTATCCCTACATCAGGTCCACCTGGAAGGTCTTACATGGAGTTCTTTATGGCAAAGGCACCTGGTAACTTCATTCAGTTTCAACATGTATCTTTACTGTTACTATGTTGAACACTAGAGCTACAAAGAAAACAAAATGTCTCCCCTGTA